TAACGATGGTTTCTTTAGGAGGGGTCTCACCACCGCCGTTTTGAGTACGGCGGGGAAGGGCCCCCCCCCAAGGGAGGGGGTGACAACCGCCTGGATCCAGCCATGTGTCACCTCTCTGCTGTTGGCCACCAGCCAGGAGGGACACGGGTCCAGAATACAAGTGGAGGCACTTACAGCTCGGATGGCCTTGTCCACATCCCCAGAGGCAACTTCCTGGAACTCAACCCAGAACTGATGTGGCAAATGATCCTCCTGTGTCTCAGCTGGATCTACTGCGGTGGAGTCCAAGTCCGATCGAAACCGAGCTACTTTGTCCGCCAAGAATTGGCGGTTTACATTTTCTTTTAAATGAGACTTTTTATTTTAAAAAACCCAAAATGTTATAATATTCTTTTAAACAAAGAATGTTTTGTTTAAAAAAAGTGTAAACAATATTACTTCACAACAAACTTGGTCCATTCTCAAAAACGTGATTTTACATTTGTTTTACATTTTCCAATACTAACTACAATTCTTTTTAATACATTAAGTTTAATTCAAGATAATACTAGTTACCTTGGTAAAATAGAATGAATCTTAAAAAACAGAAGACAGATATAATATGGAATAAACTAAGAGTAATCAATGAAGAAGACTCTATACTCACCGGTATACAGTATTCCACCATTGGGTAATGTAATTTATGACCCTTCGCTGTTCGACCCGAGAAAAAACAGCTCTGGCAAATATCATAATTGAAATGTTTCAGGCTCCGATATCTATGAATGGAGTTTGGGAGGGAAAAAATGAAGACCCTCAATTTTGTGAAAGGTTCAAAAACGTAATGCCAAGCTCGGCAGATGTAGTTACTCAAAATGTTAAATTACAGAATGTAAAACCCAACTTAATTAAGATAGATGAATAGATTGTGACACTATTCCTGGAGCTGACAATCTCACGATGATGAGGATGATCATGATTTGAGTAAAGACTGTGTGCACACTATCCATACCTACTATTTATTCCATTAAAAACTATGCTCATCTACCAATTCTATGAATACCATGTTCAATTTAGTCCTTAGAAATAGAAAATAAAATTGAATGTAAATATAGAACCAGAAAAAACTACTTTTTAAAGAAATTTAAGGAGAAATTCTAGTCAGTAAGGCCCATTTTTAATTATTTACTGATTGCCACTAGAAAGAATGCATTTCCATGCAATAGTATGCCATGGCTTCTATAACACAATTATAATTGGTCTGAAAATCAACCATCTATCACAGGTTTTCAATAGTTGAACTATTTTCTCACACATGGCAGGGATGAAGAAAAACCACTGCAGAAGAATGCAGCATATTTTTATATAAATGCATTCCTGAAGGAGCGGATTAATTGTTCAGTATATTTAAAAGGGTCACTATTTCAAGATGGTGATTGTCACCAGGAGCAATCAAAGAAGTAACCCAAAGAAAATTAAGAATTATTTTTTTAATTATAACTTATATCATGGTCTTCTTTGTTTTATATATTGTGTACTAACAGTTGTGTTCACAGCTAGGTTTTACATTATTTATTCAATTAATTTTGATGGCAATTTAAAAGAAGAAGTTTGAAAAAAGGAAGAAGCAATAGAATGATTAACATTCTGTCCAAGAATTTAAAATATTTCAATTTTACAACAGACCACTTTGACCTGTGACAAAATAAGTTGAGGCTGTTCATCCCAAAGATGTCAGAGGTTCTGGGATGCTTCAGATGGATAAAAGGCATTTTTCATTAGCAGCTAACAAAAATATTGTGTTTTACTTTAATTTCCAGCACCGGCTTTAGTGGAAGATTTAACTACAAAATAGGCAATTTCTGTTAGGCTGTCAAGTCTCCGGGATTGGGCGGCCTAGAAATTTAACAAATAAATAAATAAAAATAAATAAACACTTAATAACAAAATCAACAGAAATATATGATAAGATTACTGGGCTCCCTTTTGTCAATGCCAGCTGAAAAATTATTTTACATCTAAATGAATAAAACTGTGAGTTTCAATAAAGGGGAAATGAATCCATTTTTAAATATATTCTGTGAAGAGAAGATAGGTAAATAGCAAACAGTATTAGCTGTATTAGAACAGCACAACCTGAATTTTCAGTATTTCAGAATCAGGAAAATGCTGAAATGTGCCATGGTAACACAGTGGTTATAATACAGTAATGCAGACAAATTCAGTTCACTGCCAAGAGTTCGATACTGACCAGCTCAAAGTTGATTCAGCCTTCCCTCCTTCCGAGGTGGATAAAATGAGGACCTAGAATGTTGAGGGCAATATGCTGACTCTGTAAATCGCTTAGAGAGGGCTGTAGAGCACCGTGAAGCGGTATATAAGCCTAAGTGATATTGCTATTGCTAAACGGGGTTTGTAATAGTCAGTGGCTACTGGTGTGGCCTAGTGACACAGAAAAGATAATGACCTAGTTTTCTTTTTACTGCTGACCCATTTAGAAATGTGGGAACTCCAGAATTCATTATTTTTAGCAGATAGGAAGATTATATACTTTTGTGCACCAAACAATATCTGAATGATTGCTGATAATTATGTTCTTTAGTCCTAATGCCAATGTTTGACTATGACTTTTGAATATACTGTATGTAAATATAGGCAGTTAGACTGAGAAATGCTGAACCAGCTATTGCTACTCCAGTGTGACATAAAATATGATGTAAATAATGTAATTCATTTAAATAATGTAATTTATTTTTATGACTGGATGCAATAGCCACATTGACTTTTTTCCTGCCTTTGCTTTGTAATCATTCATTCTCTTTACTTTATATCCATTTTTCTCATTTGTACTAAGTAAATACACATTGTCCTTAAAACTAAATAGAAACTGCAAAGGAATCAAACAGTGATGAGACTACCAAAGATGGACAGAGAGGATTTAATCTTGCAATCTTTCCCATGTTAGTGGTAAAAGTGTCTTTCCGAAGTTGTTATTAGCATAGAGACTAGACAATCTGTGACCTGTTGGGTCATAGTTTCAGATATATTTAATTACCTAAATAAAGAAACAGAATGACCACAAGTGGGCAAAAAAAAATCAGGAAGAGCAAGATTGATTTTCAATATACTGTCAGCTTCCCTACTAAGTTTCCTTGTGGGAAGAAGGCAAGGAGCATCAGAAATTTTACTTCCTTCTTTCCTCCCTCTCTCCCCCAAATACATGGATGTGTCTGTGGAATGACTTGGAGTCAAGTTCAGTTCAAAGCAGAATAACTTCTATAGTAAGGTTCAAAGATCATGGATAGAATAAGTCTCTTTGATGGATATGAGACTATGGGACTCGCTGAATAAATACAGCTGGAAGTTGAGAAGGTAGGAATTTACAGTATGGAAATAAACACAAAAATGTCAAACGTTTGGAAAAGCAGGCAGGCAGGCAGGCACGAAGGAAGGAAGGAAATGCTAACCTAATAATATGATAACTAACTCCAGTCCCTTAGAGAGTTCTCCACCTGATATAACTAAACCTATACCTATGGAAGAGGGCACAGTATGTGTGATCATTCATATAGGGAGACCATTCTGAATTGTCACTATCTGCTGCCTCCCTTTGCTTTCCTTCATGGAGAAGAAACCTTCCTTAGAACAGAAAGCTCTGCAAACTTGATACTGTTAAAACATTTTTGTTATGAAGTTTTCATATAATTTGGGAGCCTTGGTAATAACACTTGTAACGAATAGAGATTCAATTACTGAACTAACACTGTAAATATTTCAGAGAAAATTTGAGCACAAAGATCTTACAAAACTATCACCAAGTCTGTGTTATTGAGTTGCAATTTCCCCAGCATAATGCAAATTACTGCATCGTTGCGATAATAAGCTCACATAAGGGCACAGTGCTACTTGTAAAGCAGCTTTATGAGACTGGCAAGGACTATCATGAATTATGATAGGCTTCAACCCTATTTACAGTCTAATCCATATGAACTATAGATGTTAATCTACATCATCTTCTCAAACATTTTCTACATTTAATAATTTACTATACTGTGGAGTTTTCTATGGTAAATTACTTTATAGTTGGTTTCAAAAACCTGGTAAGTTGTATTAAAGGCCATAACCCAGAACCAGATGACAATCTTTTGATGAATGTGAATTTCTGAACCAATATCGTCCAATGGATTTTCCACTTAAGCATACACACGCATTTGCATTCATTTTTCCAAAACCAAAAAAAAAAAAAAGGTTCAGACAGTGAGTATCAAGATAATGAAGAGTCTAAACCCCAAACCCCAAGACAAATGGTTAAAAAAAGTGCCCAACTTGGCGAACTCTTTGCTAGGTGTCTTCAGACAGAGGCTAGATGGTCATCACTACAGAGAAGTTGTAGTTCAGACTTTACTGACTAGAAATCCTCTAAGTACACCCCTACTTTTTATGAGTCTCTAACTTATAACATATCAAGTGATGAGTTATTAGCATAGCATGTACAATGAAGCTGGAATATAAATCGATTACATTACTGATGCAATTCATAAAAGGCATTTTATTTTGCTCACCTAAAACCAACAATTGGACATTCCTTACAGATGTTGCACTTGGCCTGATGTTTTGCTGTTTCTGAAGCTGCTACTCTGTGTAGAACTGGCAACCATACCATAGACTGTGGCTCCAGACGCATCCATTCTATGAACTGCTTTACGTCAATTTCTGGCTTATTATTATGCTGATAAATGAAGATGGGATTAAAAAGAATTTAACATTCATATTAAAGCTTCCTGTCCAGTCTATTTTCTTTAAAAAAATGTATTCCAAGTTTGAACTTCAAGGAAACATTACTTATCCCACCAATATTCAGTCAAAGAAGAAAGGACAATTACTTCCGCTGTAATTGAAGTGCCCCTTGTACAAGTAGTTGACTTACAAACATTCTTTCAGGGAGCGTTTGAAGTTATAACAGTATTGAAAAAAGTGACTTATGATTCATCTTCACACTTATGACCACTGCAGCATTCCCATGGTCAGGTGATCAAAATTTGGGTATTTGCAACCAGCTTGTACTTATGATTGCAGCAACTTTGTAGCAACTGATCACCACTGGCAACCTTCCCAGCCGGTTTCTGACAGGCAAAGTCAATAAAGCCAGATTTGCTTAACAAGGTATGATTCACTTAAAACCATGGTCAAAAAAGGTCATAAAATCAGGTGTGAATCATTTAACAACATCCTTACTTAGCTATGGAAATTCTGGTCCCAACTTGTGTTCGTAAGGTATAAACTATCTGTATAAGCCTTTACAATCAGGTCAGTGATATAAATTTATGAGACTAAAAGTCCATTCCAGGCTTCAAATGATTAAAGGAAAGAATGCCAGTAATGGATGTATAAACCTTGTCCCCAATGTCTAGGGCAGTGATGGCGAATCTTTTTTGGCTCACATGCCAAAAGCGGAGGGAGCGCAGGGGGGTGTTGTGTGTGGGCGTGCCACACCCATAATGCAATGCTCATCTACATGAAGCCGCTGGGTGAGATCATTCGACGGCACGGGATAAAATACCATCAGTATGCGGACGATACACAGCTGTATCTGTCCGCCCCGGGCCAACTCAGTGAAGCGGTTGACGTGATGTGCCAGTGCCTCGAGGCTGTTAGGGACTGGATGGGGGTTAACAAGCTTGTACTCAATCCGGATAAGACCGAGTGGCTGGTGTGTTTCTCTCCTACTAATTGGCCAAGTTTTCCATCTCTCAAGCTGGGGGGTCAAACAGTACGCCCCTCAGACAGGGTTCGCAATTTGGGAGTCCTCCTGGACCCACAGCTGACTTTTGAACACCACTTGTTGGCTGTGACCAGGGGGGCATTTGCCCAGGTTCGCCTGGTGCACCAGTTGCGTCCCTACCTGAACCGGGAGGCCCTCACAACAGTCACTCATGCCCTTGTGACCTCTAGACTGGACTACTGCAACGTGCTCTACATGGGGCAGCCCTTGAAGAGCATTCGGAGACTTCAGCTTGCCCAGAATGCAGCCGCGTGAGCGATCGTGGGTGCACCTCGGTTCACCCACGTAACACCTATCCTCCGCGAGCTGCACTGGCTGCCTATTAGTCTCCGGATACGCTTCAAGGCGCTAGTCGTCACTTATAAAGCCCTTCATGGTATTGGAACTGGGTACTTGAGAGACCGCCTGCTGCCAATCACCTCCACTAGACCGATTAGATCCCACAGATTAGGCCTCCTCCGAATTCCATCCGCCGGCCAGTGCCGACTGGCGACTACCCGGAGGAGAGCCTTCTCTGTGGCTGCTCCGACCCTCTGGAACGAACTCCCCGTGGAGATTCGAACCCTCACCACCCTCCAGGCCTTCCGCAAAGCCCTTAAAACCTGGCTGTTCCGACAGGCCTGGGGCTAAAGAGCTGTTGCCCCCGTCTCGAATGGTATGACTGTTGTGTGTTTTTAAATTATGTATTGTTATGTTTCGTTTTTCATTTTCTGTCTGTACCCCCCTTCCCTGATTTGAATTGTGAGCCGCCCTGAGTCCCCTTCGGGGGAAAAGGGAGGCATATAAATATAATAAAATCAAATCAAATCAATCAATGACCCTAGCGCGCATGACCAGCGCTCCCCCCCCATTTTTGGCATGCTTTTTTTGCCCTCCCCAGGTTCCAGAGGCTTTATAGGAGTGTGGGGGGGGAAAAAAGCCCCCCCCCCCCCCCCCCCCCCCCCCCCGAGATCCTCTGGAGGCTTCAGGAGCTTCAAGAACAGACTTCCTATTTGCTCGTAGGGGCAGTTTTAGCCCTCTGGAGCCTTCAGGGACCTTCAGGAGGCTTCCCTAAAGGCTCTGGAGGGGGAAAAAACAACCCTATGAGCAAACCGGAAGTCACTTCCGGTTTGTCCGTAGGGCCGTTTTTAGTCCTCCGGAGCCTTCAGGAACTTTCAGGAGGCCTCCGGGGGGGGAGGGGGGGAGACTGTTTTCGCCCTCCCCAGGCTCCTATAAAGGAGGGTGAAAAATGGCCTCAAAAGAAGTCTGAAGTCAGCTGGCCAGTACGCACATGTGCGCTGGCCAGCTGACAGTGCAACGCCTCACGTGCCCTGACAAATGGTTCCATGTGCCACCTATGGCACACCTGCCATAGGTTCGCCATCCCAGGTCTAGGGTTTCTTGCCTAAGCAGAGAGTTGGACTAGAAGATTTACAAGTTCCCTTCCAACTCTGTTAAACTGTTATTCTAATATGTCCCTCTTCCTCCAGAAGTGAGTTTCAAATCTTCAGAAGGTCTGTAAGAGACTCCCTCTGAACCCAACTAACATCCAAATGTAACTGTATTTAGAGCATCCAGAAATGGAAACAGACACTTTACACTTTACAATTACCTGCTGGAAACAGCTGCGGACACTGGGCTCAATGTTACTGCCTCCAAAAGCGGCTACTTCCCCAAGCTGGCGTGGGATTTGGATAGCATCGTGCAATAACAAGCCAAGCTGCCTCTGGTCAGACATTTCGATAGGTCCAGCCACTTCTCTAAAGAGATCTTCAAGGCAAAAAGGGAGGGTGGGAGAAGGACACTTGCTTGAGAAGGAACAATTTTTCATTTCTTCCAATTTTACCCGTGAATTACTCTAAGTTATCTCTTCCTTAGTGCACAACATAGAAATGCAAAATGGAGCTTTCCTTACAATTCCTGTAAATTTTGTATTTCAGGCACCACTTTAATGTCTGCTATTTTCTCACATTTCTTATTTATTAATAAAGGAAGATCACAGAAAAATCAATCTAAATTCAATACTCAGAATGAGGAAGAGGTGTTTTAGGGCTATTTTGACTTTGTTTTGCCCTTTAACTAATACTCTCTCTGCATTCCACAGTGACATGTTGGCTATTAAAGTAGATGCTATCATATTTTTTTTCTGTTTCTTACAAATAGTATGTGAAAAAGAAAATAAGGAATAGAGATACATTCCCCACCAAAACTGTAAGTTTTGAAATAATAAGTTCCATAATCATCAATATTGTTTATCAGAGATGTTATTTTTTTATTGTCTTGAAAATGTAAATAATTGTTTGCATTTTTTTAAAATCTCTTTTTGTATTTCTGTTTTATTTAAGCTGTTAGCTTAACACAGACCTGTCCAACCTATGGCCCATGGACAGCTAGTAATGCAGTCCCACAAGAGTGTAAACTTTTAACATTATTATGTGATTCATATACCTTAGCTGTATTATATACAGGTAGTCCTCAACTTACAACCACAATTGAGCCCAAAATTTCTGTTGTTAAGTAAGAGTTATGTTAAATGAGTTTTGCCCCATTTTATGACATTTCTTGCCACAGTTGTTAAGTGAATCACTGCAGTTGATAAGTTAGTAAACCAGTTGTTAAGAGAATCTTGCTTCCCCGTTTGTTGGAAGGTTGCAAAAGGAGATTATATGACTCTGGGATGCTCCAACGGTCATAAATATGAACCAGTTGGATAAGCATATGAATTTTGATCACATGATCATGGGGATGATGCAAAGATTGTAACTGTGAAAAATGGTCTTAACTCACTTTTTTCAGTGCTGTTGTAACTTTGAACTGTCACTAAATGAACTGCTACAAGTTGAGGACTACCTGTATTTTATATGCAGACCAAGACAATTCGTCTTCACTCAAGGCAGCCCAGGCAAGCAAAAAGTTGGACACTTAATAGCTCTTCAACGTATTTAAGAGTTTTTGAAGTACAGCACCAAGCTACATCATACTATTCACTCTGAAAATCTTTCTGGGGTTTTAAGCACACACTATTTGTTTTTTTAAATCACTCTCCAAATTGAAAGTATCATTCTCATTTCATTAAAACACATTCTGTTATGGGTTAAAATGAAAAATAATCATATCACAAAATTACTTAGTTACAATAACATTCAAACAATAAAATATCTACCATGTTTCTCTATCCAGACTTGTATGCTATTGGTTTAGCAGGTCTATTTAAATACTACATGAAAGAGAGAAGAATCTGACAGACTTTTCCATTTCAGTTATCTGAAATGACTTCAGCACATTCTTCCTAGTCTAAAATTTACTTAATCATTTATACTGCGTGCTTAAGATATATTTATGAGCAGATAAACACGAATCACACTAACTCTGCTTCCAAATCATAAAGTATTCTTATGTCAATCATCTTTTATCAACCCTGAGGTAGAGTTACTTCTGTAAAATCATGTTCCCAATATGTGACATATACCTTTTCATAGGTTTGTCAAAGAATTTATGAACTGAACATTTCTTATTTTATGATATTTTTGGCTCGGAGTTCCACTGATAAGCGACACAATATTTACATATCATATTTGGAGCTAATTAAAGAGTATAGGTTCATTTACAATGTATCCCATTGTAAATTGTTGTTGTTTCATTAGCCAGTAACCAACTGCTCTTTTTTCATTTATTTGTATTTTGAGTTAATAATATTTTTTTCCAAATTAAATTGAACAGGTGGTACTTCTTTTGTCACAATAAACATTTATTTAAGCTTGGAGATTCCAAAATGATGTCTGGAGATTCCAGAGGTCCCGAGGATTGTTCCTTTTTACCCACAAAGTTCCCTACTCATGTGAGACTTTTTTTTAAAGTATTTTAATTAAAGGGGAAAAAAAGCTTCCATACTTCCAACCAAAAGTTTTTACTTTTGAGACTGATAAAAAACAGATGGTTCTAGCTGAATACCAAATGTATTTTGTTTGTTTGAAAGCACGTTCATTTGCCCATAATAAAGATAAGCAGGATCATTTAGATGATATGCAGAGGCAGATATCAAGAAGATGGCATATACATAAGATAAGATACTTTAAGATACTTTATGCCGCCCTTTTCCCTGGGGGGACTCAGGGCGGCTCACAGTTCAGGGGGAGGGGAAGACAAACCAATTTACATATAAGACAATACATCGTTAAAAGCACAACATTTTACTATTTGGGTAGGGTTAAGGTCTTTAGCCCCAGGCCTGTCGGGACAGCCAGGTTTTAAGGGCTATGCGGAAGG